TTTTTTCTGCTTGCGATCATTTGGGGTTTTTTTCGTAGATTTTTGAAATTCTCTGTCATCTGTACTGACAGAATTGGAGAAAGTATAGTTGATAGAAGCATACTGCATCACTTAATCTTCACCTAATGGTGTATTATCAGTTGTTGATATTCAATGGGATATGATGATGTCTTTAAAATTAAGATAGAAGAGCCAGAAACTGTAGCGAGTCATATGTATCGCATGGCTGTGTTAGCGATGACACTGCAAGATTGCGATTGCGATGTCGTGAAATGCATCAAAATGGCTCTCGTTCACGACATCGCTGAAGCTATCGTTGGTGATATCACTCCTCATTGCGGCGTTTCTGATGAACAGAAATTCAATCTCGAACACAAGGTTTCGTTATGATATAATCGTTTAAGATGATCATTAATTCATTGATGTATGTTTCAGTGTAATTTCTGATTTTGTTTTAGTCGAATTTGTTTGATTTAGTTTGACTGACTTTTTAGTCTGTTTTAGTTCACTTTCTGAGTTTGCTTTATTTCTGAGTTTATTATTTGATCATTGTTGTAATTGAAGCTTTTTTTTGCTGTTAATCGTTATAATTAGTGGATAGTTGTTGTTTTGAGACGGGAAGCGTTCAGTGAAATTATCNATGGTTATTATTATTATTATTGATATTGTCATTATTATTTTTTTATCCCCTAGTTATTGTTATTTTTCATTGTAAATGTTCAACACTCAAGCATAATGTTAATATTTTTTATTTTGTTTACCACTGAAAAAATTTGATAAAATTAGGCATTTTTGGAAATTTCGACGTATGTTTCCGAGAAGATTGGTGATGAGTGGGTGAGTTTATGGCGAGAATATGAGGAGAATAAAAGCAAAGAAGCGAATATCGTGAAACATCTCGATAAATTTGATATGATTGCACAAGCATTCAGTTATGAGAAGAGATTCAATATTGGTGCGTTCATTTGATTTGTTTTTACTGATTTCGATAATTATCGTAGATGTTTGAAAGGATAATGTGTATTTTCGAGGTGAGGGGTACGGAATTAATTGCGGAATGCGATACTTAACACGTTCACCACTAGCACTTTTTGAAATCTCAGTCAACTTTCATTTCATAAATAGTTTCAGACTTCTAATGAATAATTACTGCTAAATGTTAACGTGTGCATCAATTCACCTGACTTAGCGCATTCCATTTGAAAGTAATTGAATAAAATTTTAAACTAAAATTAAAATTCGGTTTTTGTACCATTTGGTTTCTGGAGTGGAATGTCATAGATGAAAGGTGAGCACTCAATCATTTAATTTCAGATTTAAACGAATTTTTTGTGTCAACGCAGAATTCTTTCCACCTCGAACCATTCGTTACGTGGAATCAACAGTTGAGAGAAAAACGAAATGAATATAGGAAAAGCAACAATTCGATCGCTAATTAATTGATCAGAATAATCAAATCCGATCATTTTTATAAATCGCTGACAAAAATTTTGTTATGTATGTACGTATTTGTTGTTGTTATAATTGTTGTTGTATTTTATCGCTTTTCAATGGTTAAATCGGTTATTCGAATAAAACAGTAACGTTTAACTGAGACACTGAATAATGATTGTTCATGTTGAATTTTTTCTGAGACACTGAATAATGATTGTTCATGTTGAATTTTTTCGAATAGTTGAAAATTTGAATTGCCTCAATTGAGCGGCACCAATTACTGGCGCAGACAGATATTTATTTACAGAAGTATGCCAAGAGAGATTCTTTGAAAGGATTCAAAAGGTTATTAATTCTTCTTCCACCACGAAAATTCCAAAGAAGATTATTAATGACTGTTGCTGTCGTCAACCGCTTCTGCTCTCTTCTTTTGCACTTATATTCGCTCGAATGAGGCTGCTTATACCCGTTGAAAATTTCAAAATCGCTCGATTTATTCGTTTTGATGTCTTTTAATTCATAGACTTCTTTCTCATCAGTTAATACGCCTTATAAGACTTCGCAAAAAATTCACCAACTCTTTCCCAGGTCGTAATTAACTTATATTGAACGTCAGTCGTGTTCATGTAATATTAGTAACCAAACTGCTTTAACGCTGCAAGACAAAAAGCCCTCTGCTATGTCGACCTGACACTATTGTTGAACACTTTCTATTACCTACTGTATATTTGCAGTGCTCATTAAAAGTGGCTGGAATGATAATGCTTAACCCGTTTTGATGCTTATTGATAGATTTTTGATTACTTTTTGAGTCAAATTTCGCGAAATGTAAACGAAAGATTTGTTTTCATCTTATTTCCTGTAATTTTCTATAATTTGAGTGCATGTATAGTAGTTCAACGTATCGCTCGGCTCATCTTTTTTGCAACGTATGAATAAAACTGATCAAGTTATCAATCTAATTCCTCGTCTACACAACAAGGTTTAACACATCGAGATGGATGTATCCATAAGTCGAGTTTTCAATCGAAAAAACGCGGCGCGTTCGTTCCAATAATGCGCTAAGTGTTTAGTGGTCACAGTTTTAGTAATATATGGTAAAAAGTGAACGCAGCTTTAATTCTGACGTAATTTCCTCAGCTTTGGTGTTGTTCACTTTATCTGGAATGCATCACGTTTCGAGTCACTGTAGCTTTTACTGCGGTCTCATTCGATAAGGATTCCTCTCACTAATGGTGTTTCGTCAGTCAACGAGACAGTCACTCGATTATTAATTCGTAGAATTAATTCGCTGTTTATCGTTTCGGTTTCATCCATTCATTTTGATTGAAAACTGCGCGTTTATAAACTGAGCATTTGTTGCAACAAGTTTGGTCTGTGCAATTAGATACAACGATGAGTTATGGTTGTATCGAATTCGATTGCAGGGTGGAAACATCAAAAAATGGGTCGCCGACCAGCTCGTTGCTATCGTTATATAAAGAATAAGCCCTACCCAAAATCACGGTTCTGTCGTGGTGTACCGGATCCGAAAATTCGTATTTTCGACTTGGGCAAGAAAAAGGCCGATGTTGACGAATTTCCTGCATGCGTGCATTTGATGTCGAATGAACGTGAACATCTTTCTTCAGAAGCACTTGAGGTATTTGATTATTTATGTATGTTTTAAGTGCAGATTCCTTGCACATAATAATATCACCTGATAGTGATGATGGATACATTGAAAACGTCAATAATGCAGTAATAATAAAGTTATCTTAGGGATGCTATCATGGGTAAAGTATGCAATATTTATGATTTTTAATGAAAAGAAGAGTGTGGAGAAGTAAACGAGATGTTTATTATTGCACAGGCGGCACGTATTTGTGCGAACAAATATATGGTGAAGAATTGTGGTAAGGATGGTTTCCATATGCGCGTTCGTAAGCATCCCTATCACGTGGTACGAATCAACAAAATGTTATCGTGTGCTGGTGCTGATCGTTTGCAAACTGGTATGAGAGGTGCGTTCGGTAAACCGCAAGGCTTAGTGGCACGTGTCGATATCGGTGATATGCTCATTTCAACTCGTGTTAGAGAACAGGTATTTATTTATGTTTTTGATGATCACTTAATTTAACCGAATCTTTTCGTTTCTAAAAGTGATATCACTGATCTCTCGGTCCATATTCAACGGGATGCAGATTATTGGGAATTCTAACAAGTGTAGAAGTTTTATTAGGATCACTTCAACGTGCATGGATAGGTTATAACTACAAGGTTGGATCGGTGATTTGTTGGGTATGTGGGTTGACGTTACAAATGAACATTTTTCGTTTGAGTGAATAATTTCAGCATGTTGAACATGCAGTTGAAGCATTCCGTCGTGCCAAATTCAAGTTCCCTGGCCGACAGCTGATCGTGATATCAAGGAAATGGGGCTTCACAAGGTGGGATAAAGAAGAATTCGAAAAAATGCGTCAGGAGGGTCGTCTCATTAATGATGGCGCCAATTGTAAATTGGTTCGTGAGCACGGACCTTTGTCGAAATGGCTTATTAATCCGATCTAATTGTTGGTTGATTGAGCGTTTACGATACAATATCAATTTGTTGTTGAGTTGTATTATCATGTTACCGTTACTCTTATTGAAGGTTGTTTATTTGTGTGCTTCATCGTGGAGAATATAAATATTTGTTGTTTTATAGAGCTGTTAGTGTTATCAATAACTTATTTTCATCACATCTGATTCAAAAGTAAAATCAAGATAGAAAGATCAAATGCGATGAGCACAAGANGCGTAAAAAGACATTATTCATGGCGAGCCTTTAAAAGTTGACTAGTGAGCACCGAAGGAGCTGGTTAGCGAGAGGGCGAAAAGTTTGTTTGAATTACAATGGACAGTGGTTTTGGTAGGTGATAGTAATAACAAACGAAGTTGCGGTTGAACTCTGATGGGGAAGGAAAGGTCGAAATGATTCATTTGTTATTAACAAAGTGATCAACAAACCAAAAGGAGTAATGGAAAGTGTAAGAAGGATTTTTGATAGTTGTGCGTGATGAATGGCTTGTTTTATCATTGGCTTGAGAGCGGACTTGTAGATCAATTATGACTGAAGGGGGACCTTGGTGTGGTTATGCGAGCCGATCATGAAGCCTTAAGCGTCAAGTGGATTAACCCTGGCATTCAGGAAATTTTTTCCACGTCAAATGCGTATTGAATTCGTTTCGACGCCTCATCGATCATTACCTCATCTTGCAAAAATATAAACTGAACAGCATAACTGTATGGAGTAGGATTGATCCTATCTATAAATTTATCCCTTTCTTATCGATGTGAAGTGAGTGGTCCATTTCCATATTGATCACGTTCAGTGATTTATTCGCCAAGCCAATGGTTCTCGTAGAGGTGAGATTCACCTTTGGAATGAATCCGGATATTTCAGCGGAATTGAACGGAGAAGAATTAAGAGAGTTGTTACGGTAAAATACAATGGAACGCCATTTTCTTCACATGGATATATAAACGCAGTTGACTTGTAGCACTGTTCTCTTCTTACTCATATTCCTCATAATCCGTGGCTCGTCTAGGCCTGCTCACAAATAGGACACAAGTATTTCATAATTTTTCAAATATACTGACTGATGTCGTCCTTCATGAACACTGGCAGCTGCTTGAGTTTTTCAGTGCGGGAGAAAAGATACAAAAAAAGAAAGCGATTCTGAATTCATCACATTAGTTTTTTTCACCTGTTCGCCTTACATGTGCATCCAAACTCGGTTCCATATCAGAAAAAAGTCAGCAAAGCGAAGATTTCAAATTCATTAGTGCTGAATCAGTTCAGGTCTGCAATGATTTCTGTTGAACAATAAGAACCTCGTGAGAGAATAAACGTCTTTTGGGAAGATCGAACAGCGAAGAGGAGAGCCATTTTTTCGGTATATCTCATACAATTAAGATTTCGATGCCATTTAATTGTTTCAAATCGTTTTTATTACCTTACTTTATTGTTGTTACCCTTTATTCCATATTTTTGGGCTATTTTTTAACGCTTTCATTATTCTATTCATGTTTGCTGTGTTCATTATTGTGTTCGTAAGGTTATCGCACAGAGAATGGTCATTTACAGCTTGTTGAGACCCAATAGAAATCATCTGAATGGAATTTATCATCATTTGCTTCAGTCACGCTCAGCATTTTATTTTGATCCACACTAAAGCCAGCTAAACTTTACGTGGGATCGAGACCGACCATGCACAGATTTTGACATTATTAGCGTTATTCCATTCACAGCAAACAGTTTCAAATAAAATGTGTTCTTAACAGCACATTGATATGATAGCATATTGCATGTTGTTCAGACTTGATTTATTCATCCATATTAAAACTTCTTTATCCTGATATGCTACTATCAGTAATGTTTTGTTGATAAAATATTTTGATGTAATATCGTTGCGTTATCACACTGGCGATGAAGTTTCAGTTGATTGATTGCATCACTGATTTGTATCAGATCACATTTGTTTCACTGACAATTCTGATCAGTGCGAGTGGCAGTCACCAACAAGACTGGCCGACTTTCCGTGTGATATGTAAAAATCACTGCGAGCAATTCAAGCTTTTCCAATTCATTTTTAATACTTTCGAGTATATTCGTCAAAGATACGTGTGAAATGATATCGTAATTTGCATAAAACTCAGAGCAAAATTCTTGCCTTCATAAAATGACTTCTAAAATACTTTATTAGATGTTTAGTTTGACGTCGAGAGTGGTTGTTATCCAGCTCCGGCAGAACGGAAAAGGTAATTATTTAGGCTTGTTGTGTTAGGAGCTTGTTTATATCGATGAAGTGCTCTGTGAGCTATTCGTTGGCATGCAGATGGAAGCAGTAATGAATAGCAGAATAAATTTTTACATATCACATAATCATCGTTGTCAATGTTATCATTGTCATCGTTATCAANTAATTGATGAAATAATGTTCAACTGATGGAAATTGACCGCTAGAAACTGAACTCGTGATCTTGCACTGACTGACTACCTGCCCTATCAGTTCATCCATTCATCCATCTGATTCCATCAAATCAATTTCTCTTGAGGATCGCATCTTCAAGCGAGCAAATGGATTTGAATACGTAGTCCACAAATGATACATTCTTCACATATTGTTAAGTGTGGATGACTGCATGGATTCGATTACTATTCTAGCATTCAGCAGTTCGTCGCAAACTTCCAAACTGACATATATGCAATTCAATAAAATCTGATCAGTGAAACATCATGATAGATCACAAACCTCCTAATAAACTTCATAATACTGAAATCGATTGAATAGTACTGCATTCCAGGTCACAAACTCATCGTCATTTAAACAACATAAATCAAGCATCGAAGTTTTCATCATCAATGAATGAATATTCATTAGTAAAGATGACAAAACTTCTCTTTTTCTTCTTGATAAGTAAGTCATTGAATTAGATGTAAAAGAACAAATAAAAACAAGATTTCTGAAAAATAAAGGCTGGTGACTGAATGAATACACAAAATTGATTGAAGAACTCTTGAATTGAAATGCGATATGAAACATTCTGAAATGAGCTCTTCGTTCAGTTGTTTCGTGTTTGCATAATGCAAGCACAGCGAGAACGACATTGGTATCAATGAAGTTAATGCTTAAACCAACAAAGTATGCAATTGATTGTATTCCTGAACCATATAAGTTTATCACGGAAAATAAATGTATGAAAAGACGTTGCATTTGGAATGAACGGGTTAGTTGACACTCTGATTGTTCGCTTTCACACTGAACTGGCAAACAATTGGACTGGAATATCCAGATGAATAATTCATATCTGTGATCAACCTTCCGATTTTTGCTGAAAGAATTTGAACCACTGCAGATGTGTTACGAAAACATTTCACTATTATAAAATAAATCTCTGCATGCAATTCATGAATAATGTTATAGCAAAATTCGCACTGCAGGATAAATCCTATCATTGGGATTTCATAATCTATTTCGATATCATTATCTGATCGGACATAAGCAAAAATTATGATATTTAAACGAAACTGATTAAATACTAACGTGAGACGAACTACAGCCAGATAATGGAAAAGCAAAGTGTATATTGCCATTAAATACTGGTTACGAGGTTGATCGAGTGACGGGTGATACGGTATTCATGAAGAAGACGAAAGCTGGTGCGCTTAATGGCTACGATGTTGATATGCCTTTAAGATTCACTCATGAACGTTACGGAGCTGCTCTTAACCTGCGCATCACTGGTCGTGAAAACACGAGGTTCTTCCCTTATTCTCAGTTTTACTATGATCATTATTGTTACTGATATTATTATCGTTATTATTATTTATTATTATTATTATCTTTATTATTATTATTATTATTATTATTATTATCTTTATTATTATTATTATAATCTTTATT